CTACAGATGTCCTGTCTCGTCACTGCCGAGACGGGGATCGACAATCGATGGGTGAAGTCAGAGAGACTATTTGTATTTCGTACAGCCTGGGATCTCATTCGGGATGAAAACCCTTTGAATGAGAACGTGTCCATTGGTGAAACTGCTTCTGTACCATGTGATGAGACAAAAGAAGGCCCACTTTTGTTGTGTAGCTTGTGAAGTCTGTAATGTGTGTGTGATACTTTGGGTCTTTGTCCATTGTGCCGTGTGAGCAGCTTCCGGGCCGGACAGCATACAGGCCTTTACCCCGCCCCGCCCCGATCGAGCAACCCTCCAACGGTCCTGTGATCCGACGCAGGCTTTATCAAAAACGTCTGAGGCGCGACATTTAAGAAGCTCCCCGTCTCGTCGTTCTGTGGCTTTTTTGTTGTTCGCCATTCGACCTCTAACCCTGAACAAAGCCACGCATCTGGTTGCATTTGAGAAAGCAAACAAACATAGTAAGCCTGCTGCCATGGCTCCTAAACCAAATAGGAAGCTCCAGGGGGGTGTGGGGTGGGGGGGGGGGGGGCGGGGGGGGATTCCAAGTCATCCTGCAGGTATCCGTTCATCCTGTTCATTCTCCTTAGTGTTCCACAACAAACGCGCTGCGGTCGCTGGAGAGAGTCTCCGCCCTGAGAAAGCACGCGTTCCAAACCTCCCACGGGTCACGATCTCCGAGGGGACATTAGAGAGCTCACGTTGCCGGGCTTTCACAAGTCAGGCCGGGTCACTCGCCGTATCGCGTATCGCAGAGCCGCTGGCCAACGCGGTGCTGGCCGCTCTCATTGGCCGTTTGCCCGAGCAATATAAGAAACGTAATGAAACCGCTGAACGTTAACGGAAAGGATGGCAACATGCAAAATGACTTTTCTCTTGTGCCAATTTGTCAACTCCGAAAACTCCTCGGGGTGTTACAGTGGTTTAGACTTGCTAACTTGAATTCTTAAAATTCCGGCTGCGGTCTTATGCTTCAAAGAAATGGCTTATCAGCACACATGACTGAAAAATAAAAGGCATAGATTAAGTTGAGGATTGGCATTTACCCCCCCGTTTACGTAACGCGGTGCATTGTAACGAGCTGCACTGCACGGTACTGATTACGCCCAGTGAGACGGAGGGATGAACGTGGTGTGTGCACGGACCTCAGCTTAAGTTAGTGCTTGTGTGCAAACGCGAAACAGAGCGAGTGCGCTGTTTTGAACTTTACCCGACAAAAGAAATCCAAAGCAAGCTGGGTAACATCTAACATGATTAATCCAAAGGGAGGGCACCAATTGTGGCAATGAGAGTTCTTTGAATCTGAAGCTATTTATACGCCTGCGGCATCCCCCCCCTCCCCCTCGGCACCCACAGAGGATTCAGGCTGGTCTTTCCCACCAAGAAATTTGGAAGGATTGAAGCGATGGAGAGGAGAGAAAAAAGAAAAAAAAGGAGGTAGACACAGGCTGCAGTTTGGAAAGGAAGCTGACGGCTGACTTCCTGCACGTCTGTTTCTTTGGGCACCGGCAGGACAATGCGTCCTGTTCGTCAGCGGACGAGGAGGACGAGGCGTGCAGCTTGGACGTGCTGCCACACACCAGAAGCATTGACGAGCGTCGGCATCGGACGACGCGCGATCTCGCTTGTGTGTGGCCCTGACGCAGGGGTCAAGGGGGCAGGGTTTCCAGATGTTTCCTATTCCCGCAGCACTGACGAGACCTTTCCTGGTCAACTCTCAGTCTCACACTTCTCAGAATCCAGAGGGAAGGTCGAGCGCTGACTGACCTATTGGCTGCGAGATACCAGCGTTTAGAGGGATAAGAATCCCGCTTGTCTGCGCGGGTTGATGCCGCTGACCGCTGTCTTGACGTTGGTATACCCTACATTTGGGTGGACAATGAACGTGTAAAAAAAACGAGTTGCTTGGATTAAAAAGCCCTGAAGAAAATCCCCACTAATCTAGGGCCCTAAGAGAGGATCGGTTCAGACACAAACGTGGGAAATCAGCTGAAACAAAAACAGGAAAGGAGCCTGGAATTGAAGAGGAATTGGCCCACTGTCTCAAGGAGGCGATCGATTCATGATGAAAGTGCAGAGCAAAACAAATCCAGACTAATCCCTCTTCATACGCACCCCTAACCCCCCGCCCAGACATCGTTGCCTCCCAGCACGTTGCATTAGCTCGTTGCCGTTGATAACTGCCAGCGGATGAGTGACACGCAGAAACAGATGCCCATCTCCTTTGCGTGTCTCCTTCAATCAATGCGATTGGGAAGTGATACAAACAAATACAAAAAAAGAGAGTTATGTGGGTGTTATCTGCCACTCAGTTGGCCACCAATTCATTTTGGTCATCTGTCACGGATATGTGGGGGGGGGGGGACCCCAGAGGCACCGAGGGGGACACAACTGTCAGGTGGAAACAGATAAGAGAAGAAGAAGTCCTCTAGGGTCGTCGCGGCTCAGGGGTTAGAGAAGGTGCGCTGGGAAGCACAAGGTTGGTGGTTCAAGTCCAGGCTGCCCCCATGTTGTCCCCATGTCGAAGTGTCCCTGAGCAAGACATCTAACCCCTAATTGCTCCCCGGGCAAAAATGTGAAAAAGCCTTGGGTTTAAAGTGTAATGTAAGTCGCTTTGGATAAAAGCGTCTGATAAATGACCTGTAATGTAAAAGTCACACGTCATGTGACAACATGAAGATGTTTGAACCCTCATTGGTGCGGTTCTACGGATCCCCGTGCACACGCAGAGCGCACACACTACATGCCGATCGCTCTCTGTGGGGAGCGATCTAATCGCCTAAGAGGCAAGGAAACAAAGAGCGCTCTCACTTTTCATTCTCCCATCTGTAGGTGTCTTCACACTGAGGGACTATATGCAGCCCCCTACCAGCCCCCGAACCACTCACGTATCTTTATTGAAGCCATATGTTCTTAGCTCCCGCAGACAGACTCCCCTTATCAACACCAACAGTGAGCCGCATGGTGACAAAGCCCGGCCTCCTGCGGGGGGACGGGGGAGCAGGCTCAGCTGTACCCTGGACGGGGAGAGCAGGGGAGGGGTTTGCAGTGGGGGGTTTGTGTCTTAAGCTGAGCCCCGGTGGAAAGTGCTCCGCATGGCGAGACAATGCACGAGATACACCGTCACATGAAGGGTACATTGATAGAGAGCAGCGGGCTTTTGGCATCCAGGCTCAGCTGCACAATTTGCATCCACATGCGACGATGAATGGTAACGAGGAGGAGTAATCGGAGGCAGCCAACGGAGACACTTGTTAACAAGAAGATTTTTTTTTTTAATGAAATCTACCAATTATTTCAGGCAAATTTAAATGATTTATTGTATTTAGTTACAGAAAGGGATTATTATCAATGTTCACATTAAACTGTGAACGGCCATAAAAAAATATTGCCATTAAATTAAAAAGACTCAATTTTGACACTAACGTGTGGCTGCCGTGTTGTGTGTGTAATAGAGCATCCTATTCAAACGACACAGATACCAGAATGTCTCTCCAGCCCGACTCCCCGCTGGCTTCACACCGTATGGCTTAAATCAAGACATGCCAATAGTTGTGACAGGGGGGTGGGGGGGGCGCTGTGCATGGCACTGACAGCTTTCAGATGCTCAGAAGAAGAAGGGGGTGTGGGGGGGGGGGGGGGGGCCCAAACTTCTCTGATAAATCATTGTCTGCTTTGTCTTTATCATTATGTCCCTACCGGAATCCGGGGGGGGGGGCAAAACCTGTCTTTCAACCCGAGATAAACCTCGGCTGCTTTCCAGCGGAACTGAGAAAGGAAGGAAGTGTGGCTGAGTATTGGACGGCGAAATGTCGGACAAACCAGAGTCCATCGGCGTGCCGTGGCCACAAGGTGTGAAGGAAAGCAGTGCGTCTCGGACTGGAGCTCCAACATCTCCGCAGAGCCTGGCTACTGCCACCCGCCTGTGCAGACATACTTTACGTACTATTTCAAGAGCTTTGAGGAAGTTCCTTAATGCGTGACAGCACAAGACAAAAAAGGGAACCACGGCTATTTCGGACAAATGCTTGCCAGATGCTGAAATTGGAGAATGAACAGAATTGGTGGCACGATCATGAAGAAACGTTCAGTAAAAAATGGCTACAATCCTTTGAGTCAATAAGAGGACCCTGAATCCAGACGAGCTGCAGGTTTGTGTTTTGGAGCGGACCCTGACCTTTGACACCCTTGCACACAAAATAGGGGATTTCCTTACAGGCAGCAATGAAGCTTTATAATAAAGTCGGCGAAGCCACACTGACTTTGCACCGGCTGGACGCAGAAGCCACCTGCACTGCACAACAAGCACCGCTGATGACGAGAGATCATCGATACCACGACAACAAGATCATTCAACAAAAGGCAGCCGATGAGCGAAGTGGCTGGTTTCTCATGCGTGTCAGGAAGCGGGGAGGCGTGTTGGTGCTGAACGCTCATGAATATCTATTTATTTGCAAAGTCAGCGTGGATTAAGCTCTTCAGTGATTCTCTTGCATCTGGGGCTTAAACACAAGGGAATGACCCCCCAACCACACACACACACACACACACACACCTAATCGAATCTTCCCAAGGAATGTACTACTCAGGTAACCTTATTTCCATTAAAAGCGTGAGCTAAGATTACAGAAAATTAAGACACAGCAGCGATTACTGCGCGTGTCCAGCAGCCTGCGAATAAAGCTGACAATAAAAAGCACAATGAAACGATGCAATGAGGAGGGTCAAGCTCTCTCTATATGCACACAAATAACAATGAGGTGGGATTTAAAAGCCTGAATACAAAACAGGAGCGACGCGTGTGCGCAAAACATCACACCGAACTCCCGACGAATTGCTGCTGGCTGAAGGTGAAACTCAGCCTGTAAACTGCAGCCAGGTGGAATATTACAATTCACATTTATCACGCGGCGCGAGCCGCTCCACGCGAGCGCGCACACGGGAGCAACGTGAAGCGGCGATTCGTGTCAAAAACGTACCGACTGGAGGAAGAGCAGCGTGCGCACGTAATCCCGCTCGGTGTTGAGTATTTCGTTTAAAACGCAGAGCCGGAGCCGCTGCTGGCGGTCCGAGTCCTTGGTGGCGTGGACGCCGTTCTCCTGGCGCGCGTCGTCCTCGTCCATGGTGCCCGGTTAAAGCCCCTCCGCCGGGCGCCTCTCTGCACAGATTGACGTTACTCTCCCGGTTCCAAGTATCCACACTTTGCAGAGTTTGACGCTTCAGTCCATCGCGAGTGCGGCAAGTTCCTCCTAAAAGCAGAAGAAAAGAAGAAGAAAAAAAACCTCGCGAGCTGCGGCAGACACGCGCGTGCACACAAACACGGGAGATGAAGTTCCACACTGAAAAGTGCCAAACGGACAGAAGAGAGGCTCCGCGTGTGCGTGCGTGCGTGTGTGTGTGTGGCCGCAGCACCAGCTGGGAGCGAGCCGCGCGACAGTGGAGGGGTTCAGATGGGAGGAGGGGGGAGGAACCGGGCGCGCGCGCACACACACACACACACACACACACACACACACATACACGCGCGCGCGCAGGGGGCCGCAACTCACTGCTCTATTGAGCGCACAAAAACAAATAAGACGTTGAGGGAAACATCTGTGACGGTGGTCATTGAGGCTTAACGCTACATGAATTAAGCTACTGTGGCAAAGGGACATTAAAAAGCACAATAAATAATTAAGTGAACCCGCTGACCAACTAAAAACACGGCAGCTGCACTGAATCGAGCTAATTCAGCGTGTTTACTGGAGAATGTCTAACGTGCCCGAGTAGGTCATAAATATTTGAGGACGTGATGTAAAAATATTAATACCGTATTTCAACATGATAAAAACATGGTCCCAGAGTTACTAACGAGTGACTTGAAATACCCGACGTGGGACGGCCTGTTAGGAGGCTAATGGAAGCATCTATTTAAGTTACTGCTTCGTGGCCGAATGCACATATATGCCAGCAGAAACTAAGACTTTAAGTAAAAGCTTTACTGAGTTGTTATAGCTGTTGCTTTAAAGCCTGTATTTTAAATAAGGGGACCGACCTTTAACTCTATTAAACGTTTCAAAAGTGTGAGTGAGTTAGCTTACATGGTGGCTGGTGTTTGGGAGGAAGGCGCCCTCTGCCGGATGCGCGCGGAACGACACGCACCGCTAACGTGATAAAACAACATGTCTAACGGGTTATCGGCTCTACTAACAGTAACCACCCTCCCTTGTCATTTGTTACAGCAGCAACCTTTGCCCGCTTTGACGACAACTTGTCCTTTTTTTTAACGCGGGATCGTTGGAGTCTCGTGCCGCTACGGGCGTCTGGTCTCGCGATACTGGATCACACGTGAGCTGCCTTTGCTGTGTTTATTATTGTTGGTGGAAAAGGAGTATAAGGTGAATAAGAAAAGTAAGTGAGATCCATCCTGTGAATAACAGGCGAAACATCAGGAACAGGAGAAAATTAAAATGTCAATAATAGTTTTAATTGATGCATGTTACATTCAATACCCATTGTGAGGCTCCCACACATAACTGCATACATACAAAACTTTTTCTCGCCACCTCAGATGAGGAATGCAACAGACAGCTTGTAAATGCCTTACACTATCATATATTTACATATCATCCTCCACTTCTGTACATGGCAAATCTTTAAATATGATCAAACACCAGAGGAGTAACATAGTATACAATGTATGACTGATTGTATGTAGTTCTGAAGAGTATTCAATGTACTTTTTTCTTCCAAAAGAAAAGGCACGTGCAGAAAGCACTGTCATAAAAAGTAAGTTGCACTATTAAACATGATAGGTTAAAAAAAAAAAAAACTCAACTGCGCCTTTTCCTTCATTCATACTTCGCTAGGTAAAAGTCTTCCTTCAGCGGGGGTGGGGGGTTGCTTTCAAAAATGCCCCAGTTTTAAAAGAAAAGACATGTAGGGTAAACAGGAGTAGAAAATAAACGTGCTCAGTGCATTAAGACTCCTCCAAAGAAACCCAAGAGATGTTTGCCCCGTTAGTCGCTGTGATAAATAAATTCACATTGTTACAGGCTCCAATCAAAACCAGAAGTACAGTGAGTAAACAAAAGTGAGGGAAATTATGAAAAAAATAAGTTTAAACGTGTGTAGTGTGGCAAACGATTATTTCTGACGAGTTCATTATTCAGTTTCAGACCTTAAATGTCTCTCGTGGTCATTTGATATCAGCCCTGCAAACGTCGAGTGCTCTGTGATCAGGAAACTCGGATGTTACCAAGCGTTACGAGTGAACCTTTTCTAAAGATCCCGTCAGCAGAACGTCCCCCGATCTCTTAATGCTGTGAGTTTTCTTTTGTCTTTTTTCAGGGGTCACTATGACTCCTCACACGCGTACACACACGGGCGCTGGGATGACTTTCCGCCAGCACTGGGGGACGAGCGCAGGTGTCAAAAATGCCCCCAACCTCCCGCATACAATAATACAATGTAGGAGTCCAATAGAACGTCTGGAAAACCCAAACCGAAAGGGAAAAAGGCCTGCGTGCCCCGTCTGCCGCTGTGACGACTGAATGTGTGTTTAGCACAAGGAGGAAGACTTTAACGGTGGAGGAGAGTTTCTCTTCTTAGATCAGGGATTAACACATGTATGTATATTTTTGTGATACATTTTTACCAAACCTTTCCTCTTTTCTTTGTTTTCGACAACACTTGGGTGTTTTTCTCCTTGGCAAAAATCCAAACCCCTGAAATATGTTAGATTAAAAGAAAAACAGACATCCAGAAGTGGATCCGGGACCTCTGTACTACCAAACCGTCATGAAATCGACGCATCGCGGGTTTAAAAAAAGGACGCGCTCTTTACAATTCCAGAAAGGCCAACAGTGTAGCTATCGTATTGCAGTTAATGACGAGCAGGAAGTCTTTTGCCTCAAAGCGTGAACCTTAAACGAAGAGACCGCCGCCGCCGCGACGCAGCGATGCAGCTCATTCTAGCGCCGCCGGGTGTTTGACACTTTGCTCTCAGTCAAAAGGCAGACAGTGTTGATATATGTATTCATTTAAATAACAAAACAGTACAGTATAAATATAAAGATTCTGTGTGTGTGTGTATAGGGTGGGGGTGTGTATATGTAAACACGCACAGTTGTAAATGGTGTATGAGTGTAAAACAGTGAAGTGTGTGTGTGTGTGTGTGTGTGTGCTTGTGTTAGCCAGTGTTAGGACAGGGCGGGGGAGGAAGGGTTAGAGGTGAGGCTTTCCCTCCCCCACCTCGTGGAAGAGCGAGGTGTAAAACTCGGGCTCCAGCTGCTTGTTGCGGTAACGCTGGACCATCTCCGTTATTTTCTGCTTCCGCCGCACGTGAGGCGGGTTGTACAAGTCACTTTCCAGGCGCTTCCGCCGGCACACGTTGATGACCGTTTGGCGCACGAGAAACCCTGCGGGAGGAGCACCGGGACAAAGGGGTCAGATGGGAAGTACGAAGTAATGTCACATACATTTATTTAGATTAATTAATATATTTCAATTATTTCAATTTTACATTTAGGATTTGAGTCAGTCAACTGAAAAGATTAACTTGTGCCCTTTGTGGTACAAACCATATTATACGTTCCGACATGTTCTGCCTCTGTTCTTTCTGAAGAACAGGAGCTTGTGCTAAGGAGGGAGGCAGTTACCTAGCGCTCTGCGGCTGACCACCATGCCGTCCACCAGGGGAATCACCATCCCAAATTTACCCATGGCTCCATGCAGCCGGATCCTGAAGAGCCCCGTCTTCAGGGGCTGGATGAAGATCAGAGGAACGTCCTTCTCTAGTAAGCCCGACCTGCAGCGGGAACGATGCAGAAAAACAGAATTCGTAGCATTCCTTTCGACAAATAATAGAAAACCCAATATGTCCCACATGCATACGTAGAGGTGTGTGTTGATAGATCAGACTGCAAACTTCCCTGATCTCAAGTGTAAATGCAACTACACTTGATATCTTTTCACTAACTTTAACAGCTTCCTTGCATGCTTTACCTAATGCTTTAAACCTAATGTATCAATCTTTACAAATGCTAGGCGTCAGTTATTGTTCTGGGACTCCTCAGCTGCTCGGAACACATCTCACTAATCAAATGACCTGTTTCATGTTATCAGATCCAATCACACACCTCGGGACAACAAGGGTTGCTGTGTCTGTTTAAATACTAGCTATTTAAAATCGGTTTGACCACAACTCACAACCCATCTCTAGTGCCATAGTTCTATCGTCCGTAATCATGATCACAGCTCTGCCCCACTTCCTTTTCCCTGCCTGCCTTTTGCACACGCTGCATGTTTTACTTCCTGATTTGCACTGTGTGTGTTTGTTATCCAGCATGTGAGCGCACGTGATGTTTTGCAGTGTTCTTTTTATTTTTGCACCTGACCAAAACCATTTGACGAACCGCATGTTCTCATCTGAATACCTGCAGGAAGTGCTGTTGGTCATGCTGGCTTCTAAGCCCGTGCTGGTTTCCGCCAAGAGATCAGACAAGGGGAAGTTCTCTAAAAACAACAAAAACAGGAACATTCATGTACATCAATTCACCCGTCTCTTTAGAACCAGCCTCTAGTTTTACTAAGCTTTATTGTGTGTGCAGTAATGCTAGACTAGGAGAGGAGAATGTGTGCCCACCAATGTCATCAAAGCGCTCCACCCACACCACAAACACCTTCGTCTCAGGACCCAGCGGTGGGAAAGATTTCCCAGTCGATGACCTCTTGGTCTTCACCAACGGACTCAGCTGCAGATATAGCACAGCACACGGTGAGGTGAACTAAATGAAAGCAGCAGAAGTCCTAACCTGTGCCGGCATGCGCGAGCCCAGCCGTACCTTTTTGGCCGACTCCAGGTTTTCAGAGTGGTTGGGGAACAGCTCCAGGGTGAGATTGGGTTGTTTGTGTGGAGCCGGCACGGCGTCTGCGTTGGTGTCTGCCTCCACCGTGGAGTCGCTGTGCACCGAGGACTCCTCTGGGAGGCGACAAGGAGCAAACAACTCGATCAGCCCCCAAATCCCTCCACGGGTTTCCGTCGCATTCACCATCTATACACGAGTGCTCAACGCACTGAATACTGACCCGAGTTCTCTGTTAAAGATGGAACGACGAAGGCGATCTCAGTCAGAGCATCGGCGTAGTACAAAACCTTCTTCTCCCCGTTGAACATGGAACCTCCGGTGTCCTCAGGAGTGGCTGGGTCTTCTGCAGGGAGGAAGAAAACAGCATGGGCTTCTTCGTGTATAACAGAAAAGAAATAGAAATAACATAAAAAATACTCAAGACAAGTATATTAAAGTAAATGGAGAAATTCTACAGACACTAATTACCAATTTCATCCCATCATAGTCACCATAAAGCAAAGCTCTACATAGCGTCCATCCTGTTAATCATCCTGTTTTTCCAAGTCTGTAGCTTTATGATAATAAAGAACCAAGTTTTTTTTTTAATAGCTTGTGTTTTTTATGAAAAGATTTTTTTCCAAGTATCATACAGACTGTTCTTTCAGCCATTCACCAATACTTCTCTGTTCCATGAGTGTGCTCTCAGGTTTCATCTCCATGTTATATTGTTCTGGATGACACTGATAGAAAAGCTTTGACTCCAACATTCACTTCATTACAGCACATATTGATAATCAAAAGCTCTTTCATAGTGCTCATTTAGGGAGTCACTGTCTTGAGGAGTGCAGAGGGTCGGAGGTCAGAGGGCAAAGCAGAAAGTGTCAACCAGGCAGACAGAGCTCTGATAAGGATGAGATTTAGAGACACACCAGGCACCATACAACACTCACGCTTTGTTCGCTATGTTCACATTAATGTGAGGAGACCACACATTGTATGTGATTGGATCCTGTGTTGCGGCGGGAGGACCTGCTCCTCCTCTACGCTAGTTTAGGGTCAATAGAGATCGTTTCTTTTATATTTAACAAGAAATATAAAACTCTGTTCTTCCTGATGTTAGTCAGTTGTTCTTCTGGCCTGCGGGCCGACAGAACTTCTCCTGCCTTTGCAAACGCAGCGCTGATACTCGACCTGTGATCTGATGAACAAATCTACCACAACGAGAGAAGTTGTTCGGCTGAATTTGTGCAGAATAACTTCAACCGGGCTTCCAATTTTGATCACGTTCGTTCTTTCAACATCCAACAGGCAGATAAATAACAGATGCCCTGTTGTCAGCACAGTAACTGGCTTTGAACTCACCAGTTTGGTTTATTTCGTTGCTGTCAGAGTAGGAGTTGAGGGACCAGCTGGTGTCCAGGTGTCCTGTCCATCCTGGGTGGCGTCCCACGTCCACAGGCCAGCCCAAGGACAAGACGAACTCCAAAAAGTGGGGCTGGACACTGGACGATGACTCCACATTCTTCAGGATCTGAAGGCAGCGACACGTTCCTTATTTATACACGTGTTGAGGTCCGACATCTGTATCTGTATGCTAGATTCAAGCCATTTCATTGCATTTGGAATTTTAAAAAGCGGAACATTTGGCAACATTACCCAGCATAGCGCCATTTTATAAAGAACCTGCAGTGAATCTCTTTACCTCTGGGCTGCTTTTCTGTCCGGCCCTCACGTAGAAAATAAAGACTGTGTCGAATGGACGGCAGGGAAGCAAGTCCAGGTAACTGACGTCATCAAAAAACCCTGGAAGCGATGACTCCAGGGCAATCAGATGAGGAGGTAGACGACTGTTGTTGGGCTCCTACCGATTACAAATAAATATGCATTTTAAATGCAGCTCATCAAAAGACCACGTGCATAAGAGGAAAAAACGTCATACATCACAGTGTCATTACCAAATGCAATAAATAAATATCCTTACTTCCTCAGAGGTTTGAATAGAACCACGTTGTAAAAGTCAATTAAAGTGAAGTAGGAGTCGCCGGCGGATTTGATAGTGGCATGAAAATGCTCTTTGCAGCTTCAATCCATGACAATTCCTCATCAGCCACGATCGCACAAATTATGTTTACCGACCTTGAGCGCCTCCAGAGACAGAAAGCCGAAGTGGGAGAGGAAGAGGCGCGCCGTCTGGAACTCCCGCGACGGTGAAGGAGGTTTGCAGTCCGTCCGTGGGTCGGGGTAAGGCTTGCACTTCCAGATTTCCTCGCTGTGCCGCTCCAAGGCGTTCTCATACTCGATCTGCTTGGTCATCAGAATTCGAAGCCTGTCATGCTGAAGTTCCAGCTGAAAAGAAGAAGAGAAGGAGGAAGAGGAGGATGGGGTCATATTCAAGAGGCCGCAATACTCTGTTGCATAAATTCAGCATGAACCCACAAATGCTGAAGTGCTGCCTCCCGAAAGCCGATTCCCAGTGACCGTTTAATCAGCTAAACCTGGGCCATTCACCCCAGTACAACATCCCAGTGCAACCGTTTGAATGTTAAGACTCTCAACACGGTGTCAGAGAGGTGCAGATTCAAGTCTTTCACACCAACATTTCTTTCAGCTATAAATTATTGCAAGAGGTATTGTACTGAAGTTAGAAATCGGCCACCATCCGACATCCTCACACACTTTTCACCAATTCAGATGATTTGACCCTTTATGCCAGGAGACACCAAACAGAACTCACATGTGGAATATTACTTATCAGTGCACTTGTAGCTCTGGAATCATCCTGCCAGCCCAAACAACCCACCTAAGTTTGTATGATAAACGGTATGATGGATTAAATTGACTGCAGGCTGCCGCCCAAGTATTTACAATGCCATTATTAGTGAAAACGAGATCAACAACAGGAAGTGAATCTCACCTCTTTGCTGACAATGTCGTCCAAGTCAGGAATACTGACATCTGCTTTGACAAGCGGGATCTTATCGACCTCTTCGGGGAAGGGCCTCTGCTTGACGTTGTACTTGATGCCCACGCCGTTGTTGGGTGTCGGACGGCCCTCGGGAACAAACACCTGCTGTGGACGGAGACAACGACACGGACAGTTGTGCCATCAGCACAACGGATGTGGCGGATGTTCACATGTCCGCACAAGCGGAGTCGCTTTAGCATTGTTGTCTTTCGCAACGCGGCGTGAAACTCACCCTCTGATTGGCCCGAGCTCCTCTGGGTTGGTGGAAGAGCTGCATGGTCCAGGCATGTCTGCCAGCCGTCCCTCGGATCAGAACCGTCACTGATGGACTGGGGTCTTTATGGAGAAACACAGGTTAACATGGGAGACCCTGCTAGTAAATTCAATGAAGTTGTGTAACGCCAAAGGGCGGAGGATGAGCTACTGACTCTGCTCGTTGCCGAGGGGCTGCTCCAGCATGGCGAGGATCACCGAGTTGTCCAGGACGAAGTAGCGGAAGTTGCTGGCTCCTGTGGCGCCGAGTCGGGCGTAGCGAATCAGGGTGTCTTCATTCAGCAGGCTGCAGGTGGAGGAGGTTCCGCTCGGGGAAGGGAAGGCCCCCAGCACCTGCATGATACTGGGAAACACCAAAGCCACTGGGTCATTTTGCTGAAACAAACTTGACAATGCGGCTAACCATGTTTGCCTGCCACACTAGTCGACCCTAAAGCTCTTTTAACTACGGCCTTTTGATTGTTCTAAACAGATCTGATTAGATCATAGATTGCGCCGAAACATTCGACATATTTTGGTTTTAAAAACCGGGAAAAGGTTTGCAGGTTTGATGTATAGAAAATCTCACCAGGACAAAGCTGCCTCCGCGGCGTCCTTCACCCTCATGGAAGCTGGGTTGTGCTCCTTCTCCCCTTTATGACGCACCTCCAGTTCCTGTCGGGACTTGCTGCCGGAGATCCCCAGCTCCACGATCTCCAGGACCTCCACCAAACAATCCTGATGCAGAAAGGGAACGCCAACTAACCTCAGAGCAGGAATACTTATTCTTCTTCCCACACACACGTCGCAAGGAGTCCAGTTTTATGTATGCTTTTTTTTTTTAAATGTACCTTTTCATCCAGCATGTCGGGGTGCTCTGTGAGCCACACGCACAGAAACTGGAAGGCGGCGACGATCATGGAGTGGAGGTCTCGGGACTGGAGGGGAGCGGGGCGACTGCACTGGTACACGATGTAGCCACATATGGAGCTGACGGCACGTTTGCGGTCGGCAGAGTCCACTCCCACCTTCACCTGGTTGGGGCACATATACAAAACATTGAAGAAACAAGTTCTTTGTTTGATCCACATGTGAACAGTTTTTGTGTGCTGCGTAAATACGGAACATTTGATTATACGCGTTTTTTAAGAAATAGTTTCCATTGATTGGACCGATCACTAGCCTCTGCTCTTGCTGCCTCTTAGCACTCTTCATTTATATCACATCAAGTGCCGTGTATTTACATTGTATAGCCAGGTCTGTCCTACTATTCCACTATGCTGCACTGAGAGAGCAGATGCAGCGGTTAACTGGGAAAAGCTGTACTGCCAACACCAGGCTGGGAAATTGCAGACTGTATCCAGGAACTTCCCTCCCTCTGCTACCTTGTGGTACTGTGTTGACAGTTTAGAGTTTCTCCCTTGGGATCAACTTTCTATTTTAGAAGTGGACTTGATCCACCTGAAAGCACCATCCTATTGTTTGTACATTTACCTTGGCAAGCCCAGCCAGCAGCTCCAGGGCAGCCAGTGAAATGCTCATGTCTTGCCGCCACTGGGAGTTGAGTCTCTGAGTGACAAGGTGGATACTGCGCACCAGCAGGCCGGCCGCCGTATCTGGAAGAGCTAGACCATATAACACCCCGAAATACCAAACACCGCAGAGAGTAGAGCAAAGCAGGATTCAGGCAAAGCAGCAAACATGTCCAGGTAAACAGTAGAAATGAGATACTGAAAACACATGCATTTAATTAACAGTTTGAAATGAATAGAGCACACAATGTGCTGAATTATAGAGATTGGACACACTGCTGAGGGAAAAGGGCTGAGCGATCACGTTCTGACTACCTCTACGCACGATACAATAAGCAAACTGATTATTAATAACTAGGCCGACCTGATTGAAGTTCAACAAATACTTTAACGGTAAGATTGGTATGTTTTGGGAGTGGGAGCTTCTTAGTGCGAGGCCGAGCACTTTAAATGGACGCACATTGACGGTCAGGAGTTCCCCCGGATGATTACATTGCTGCCCCCATGTGAGCGGCTGCCAGCTGCAGGGAGCTCATCCCCCGCTGTGCAGAGCAACATCCCTTCTCTCAGGCTGGAAGTAGAACTTAAATGAATTGTGTTGAACGACTGAATGTAAAGTTGAGTAAATAGTTTGATTTAAAAAAAAGGTATCAACTAGTGGAAGTAACAGAGCCTTAGGTAAAGGCTGTGAATTATCCCTCTGCCTGGTTCATTTTCATTTTGTCCAATAACACTCCCGTCTGTTAACCTTCATTTTTGTCTATTTTGTCCCGTAGAAAGTCATTTTCTTTAAAGCTGACTATCCGTGTCTGGTTTCTACTATCTTGGGAAGCTGACGGTGTAGAACGACAACAGTTTCTGTACGTAGACTGTGACTCCGTACTCCTTTCCTCATGATGAGCATGCGAGCTGTACGTAACAACCGTCCCCAGATCGCTGCCCCACTCCCAATCTGCTTCGTCCTGCCCCTCACAACTCAATGTAACCAGGAATACTCCAGTTTCCTGCAGGACAACGTTTCACATAAGCTGCACAGTCTAGAGTGAAAATAGCTGGAAACTTGAAAGCAAAATAAAGGGACAGTGATTATTACATATTAGAAAGAAAAAAAAATATCGCAATGCCAACACATTCATTTAGCCCAACATCGCTCAGCCCTTCCAAGGAAAAGACAAAAATCTTTTTAAATGCCGAGGGAAGGAGGGGGGCGTGGGGGGAGGGAGAGCAATCAGCAGCACAGCATCACAGCAAATACCGTTGGCATCACCTACAAAGGCATTTTACCCAACGCTTCTTAACTCTGCATACCACTTTAACCACGTGAGCTATGAAGAACAAATGTGTTAATTCAACAAGTCACATGTTCTGTGCATTGCTCAGCAACTCGGCACTGATCACACAAAGCCACTTTTAATGGGGATCTGTGTTAAAACGGCCCGGCACCACGGCGTTAGTTCAGGTGGAGCGGCCCGGCGTCTTACCGTAGTCTCGAAGCAGGGCCTGGGCGGGGCGCTCGGAGTCCGGGCTGGTGGCCTCCGTGCTGCCCCCGCTGGTGAAACTAATGCCGCTGTTGGTCCGGCTGTGACTCTGACTCCTGGCGGTGGCGTGGCTCCCGTCTATGCTCCCCTACACGACACAGAGAGAGAAACACAGCGGCCTTGATGTCCAGTGCGTCGCGCTGCTTCCGGCCTTGTGGCGTGTTAGTCGCTCACAAGTAAGATCACAGGAGTAACCGGAGCTTTACCGTTTCAGTCTGAGCACCTATGGACTCCAGCAGCGCGGAGTCTTGAACGATATTTAGCATCGCACCTGAGAGGGGAAGAAGGGCCAATAATTATAGAAGACATTGAGTCATTTCTAAAGTTTTATTAAATTTATTAAAACAGTCAAAATCTGTTTGAGACAGCATGAAGGAACTGCAGTGTGCAGGCCAAATAAATATGCCAGTAGATACCCAGAATGAGCTGCGTGTTGGTGGGGTCCGTCTCTGTCTGAAGGGCACCGATGAGGACGTTGACGAGACGTAGTCTCAGGGACAGGAAGGACACAGGCTGGTCATGAGGCCATCCATCCTCCTCATTGAACTTTCCTTCCAACAGAACCTAGAGAACAGACGGGTTTTCTTTTGAACTTCAAGCTACTTTTCAGTACGGAAAAAGCTTTTTTAAATAAGGAAAAAGAAATTCAAATGACTCTGCAAAGCCCCAAACTGCACTTTTTCAAATAAGATTTCAAATAAATGAAATTGAAACCTCCGATTTGATGTTGCCAAAATGGTGCGGCAATGGCAGGATGGCGAGCAGGATGTTGATGGAGGCTCGCCTCAGGTCGGTGGGATTTACATACATCTTGAATTTGGACAGCTCCCTGATAAGAGAAACAAATCCCATCAAAACCTCTGAAGAGTAATGTCACTAAAACCATAGTAGTGTGAGAATAACCTGTCCGGCACTATGGTCTCCAGCGCAGCTATGAAGTAGGGGACGACCACATTGATGCCCTTCAGGTCAGTGCAGAAGAGAGAGGAAGAGTTGAGAATGATCGAAGCCAGAACTGGTCTACAGATGAAATCAGAGATCTGCAGACCCTGAATCAGGATCATGTAGAACCTGCAGAAAGACAAACAGTTGCAGTTGAAAATCCCGACACTCATAGTTGGACATGATAAAAACATAAAAGAAATAAGAGACTAGGGTACCTGGACAGGTAAACAGGCAGGATTTCCTCTCCAGTTTTCTTGCTACAGAAGATGCGGCAGAGAGTCCCGCAGGCCTCGGCTCGTCCCGCCTCGTAGCTCTCTGGGAACTCGTTGGCGTCGAACATGGGGTTGGACACCATGGATTCGGTGGACATTTGGGAACCCTTCCTCCTCAGGTCCATGCCTACTTGGGTGGCTACCGCTGTAGAAAGGCCGAAGACACAGAGAATGAAAGGGACCCTGGATCTTAACATGGTCACCAGTACACATGCAGGTATGAGAAACAGGCAAACAAAGACGTGTAGCTGCTATATGCACACCACAAAAACAAGGAAACTTAGTTGAAATTAAAACAGGAAAAAAGCACCATTTAGCAGACACCTAATCACTAAGACTAAATAAACACACGCTGACATAATAACAAAGCATTATAAAAGGGAACTCTGACACAAAGAGTTTGCCTTAAAAGTCCCATCTATTTGTCTGGTCTATTAGTGCGCTAGTAACAAAATGACCACAAAGCAAAATCCCTGTGTCAGCTCCCTCTGATATGACACTCGCTCACTGGAGCTACAGAACATCTTCTTCATGCCAATACAAACAAAACTTAAGTGAACCAACAATACAAAAGGAAACCATAAGTAACCAGACATTGATGCTGAAATTGAGGGGTCTAAAACAAAAATAATAGGGATTAGTGTGACCCAAAGGGAAATAAAATGATAACTTATAAAACAGGGCAACGTTATGGTCGAGACAAGTGGTCTGTTGGTGAAACCCATTCCATCACCTTTGGAGAAACGCTGAGAGAACGCTGGTGGACTTTTATGTATGACAGGCAGTGGGAACAAAAAACAATGGCGATGATCATGAGGAAAATCAACTAAAAAAGCGGGTAAGATTTGTCAAGAAACGCAAATCAAGTGAGGGAAAACAAGCTGCCATTCCTACTTACAAGATTTGTAAGAAAGGAGAATTTGGATAAAAGAGGCTGCAAGATAACAGAAATAGTGGAGAGACACAAAATCAAAGCAGAGCCAATATTTTGGGATCAATTCATATAAGGCATGAATTGGGTTTTTTTTTTTTTTTTCGCTCTCCTCATACATGACGTTTGACCCGTTACAACTCTTTAACATTAATAACAGTAGACACATGCAGGACACTACACCAAAAAGAGGAAAAGAAATGGAACTGTAGGTGTTGTGAGTGGCCGTATGACGTCCGTAGCATATGATTAGTCTATATGTGGTTCTAGCCAACAGTTGGTTTGTGTACATGGATTAGAATCAGATGGAAATCTCATACCAGGTCAGGTCACTTCTAACCGAAACCCTCTAACCCCCCCCCCCCCAAAAAAAGCACAAAGACGTCTTAGAGAAGATGGGGAAAAAAAAGAAAAGTAAAAAGGATATCCCAAAGACATACAGTAATAAAACAACAACAACAGACACCAAAAAACAGGTAACTCCACAAAAACGACATAGTGCTAAAACGCCAAGGAAACGCCCACCTGCACATGCATTGATGGAAGGGTAGAAACCACCGCCTCGTCTTACCGGTCATGCTGGGGTCTCGGCTGAGGCCGCTGTGGAGCTTACAGTGGACCAGCGCGGCGTCGAAAAGCCACTGGCCGAAAAGATTGAGGATGCTGTTGACCTTCGGCCGCGCTGGGGCCGGCAGGGGCCGAGTCTCCCAGCTGCTCTGGTTGGGACTGGACAGCAGAGTCGGGGAGGAGGACGTCTGCTGCTGCTGCTGCTGCTGCTGCTGCTGCTGGGATGCTTTGGTTGGTTGACTACCGCTGCCCTGCGGGGTGGGGAGGGTATATCGGATTAGGCTGCTGACAACATGACTGACGCAACTAACAGACGACACGCAGAAAGGTTGGATAAGAAGATTCTATCGCTTTCAGAAATGGTTCACAATTGAAAAATTAAGCAACAAACCGCAATCATGCCGCATGTAATCCTTTCTACTGCGCTGATTTGGTGGACCACCATTAACCTTCTATTAGGAATAATTAGCATATCAATTCTTGAGTTATTCCCAATAACTTTTTTTCCGTGTGACACCAAAGAGAGGTCTTACAACCTACAAACATTTGCGTCATTTGTTACTCACGGTTGAGCTCTTGCTCGTGGTTTTGTTGACCACCGTGTGTCGCTGCTTGCGGCTGTGAGGGGGCGTGGTGTTGGCGATGGAGGGGGGCGGAGACATGCTCATTCTGTTGACCGGGGTGGGCGGAGCACTGTCCGCTCTGGGGCGTGATATACCTGTCGACGGGAAGGTAGAATAAGCTGGGAACGGAAGTGAGCATCTTTCCCTTCACAACGACGGACTAAAGAGATTTCCGATTAGCAAACGAGAAGAAAAAAAAAAAGAAAATTCTCCATCCTTCAACTTTTCCAGAGGAGAGAACTTGTTATGGTTAAATGTAATCATTTGAAGCATTTTTCCCCATTTCTGATGTTATGAGAGAGAAGAGAAAACGAGATAGCTTCGGAGTTGGCGTGATCATAAACAGTATTCATTCATCTACATGCAAGACAATGGTTAGATACAAATCAGCAGTAATTGACATCCATCCGTGTTGATTTTGGCACCCACAAGAGACCCCTCCTTATTGATCCGGTGGGTTAATCGGAATGTCTGGTGCTGTATCATTTTAGAAGCCCAGTTGGTTGTATCATCTCCATGAAACAACCATTGCACTATACGGTGTGTCAGCGGATGTCTGTACCATGAGAGAGCAGCACTGGACAAAAAGAGAACACCCTCTCCCGTACGTCTCTCTTTTCAACAGAGACACCTACAGTGTAAAGAGAAAAAGATCACACCCACATGTTTCTATTATCGAGTCACATGTTTCATCCTGAGGTTAACAACTATTTAAAGATGCTTGGAATTTAAAGGTTTTAAGAAGACTTTCATGGCATTTTAACTACAAACTACTATATTTTCTAATTAGTTAATCACTTTTGTGAAACCTTTTCTAAACAATATGGCCATTTAAGCTTTTTGGATGTATTTTTCTTCCCCTCCAGGACCCATTGATTTTATTATAGCATGAAAATGACCCCTTTTTTCAACTTGAACATGTAAAGAGATCAAAATTAACAGGATTTCTACTTGATTTTTGTCAGAGTAACATCACCTTTGCAGGGGTGGCAAGAGCATTTGAACCCCTAAAACACATCATGTAATGTTCACGGTTTGCAGTGCTTTGGCTAAAATGTGCACAGAGTGTTCAATGACATGTGACTGAGCTGTTGTTCATTCTTACCTAAGAAGGCGTCCACTAAGCAGCTGATGCCCCTCATGGCCCTGAAGAAAATCTGGGGCAGCTGTTTCAAACACGGATGCAGCACCACTTCATGAGGCAAGCCGCTGGAGTTGAGGAACTGTTCCTGGAATTTTGGAGTGGTGCTCACTATGGCCGGGTTGCTCAGGTCCACCGGGTTGCTACCGAAGTAAGCAAATTGACCGATAAGCAAAATAGCTTAAGAGGAGAGGGAGATTTGAGGTACTTCTGGGTACAACCCAACCCATAAAAAACAATAATAAGAAATAAATAAATACTAATAATCTGTGTCCATTTGAGTTAGTGTGATTGGGAGAGAACAGATATTTTTCAGGTTAGAACCAAGACAAATTAGGGCTAATGTACCTGAGCATGTGGAGAAAGCGGTACCACGTCTGTGCCACGCAGTCGTGATCCATATCGAGAGGGATCAGGCTGGCGTCCTCGTCGGGGACTTTGAAAGGTGGGAAGGATGGTCCGTGGGTGCAGCGCAGCAGCCTGAATCCAAAGAGTGAGCAAGGAATGCAAAGATCACACTCAGTAGATAATCACTACTGCAACCACTGATATATTTCCTTCTTCAGAGGCAATAATCCTATGTTTTGCCTCTCTTTAGACACAGGATTAAAACGGATTACATAAACAAACTATCTTAGCTCAAATCAACCCCCTCAACAAGCTTTCCTAGCACTAAATCCAAGATGAAGCCGAGTTGATGCCTTTCCCACCTGGAGGTCAGCGCGCAGGCCACTCTGCTCCACTGCTCCACGACAGGAGGGTGGTGTCTCCAGTTGGCCAGCATCTCCCTCGACGTCTTCCAATAAGGTGGCGTGGGAAAGCAGCGGGCGCACGCCAGCAGCCAAACCTCAAACAGCACGGCCACCAACTTCTCTGCTAGTTTCTCAGCCACCCCGACTGAAAGAAATCAGGGGATTATTGGATTTCAGTCATCATTCTTAATAGCTAACCAAGTGCAGTGGGAGGGGCTGTGTCGTGCAGTGGCATGTCGTACCTCCGACAGTGGGAGGGGCCAGTAATGTGTCGTTGATGCGAAGCAGGAAGAGCAACAGCACCTCCCACGTTTCCCTCACCATGGAAACGGACTCTCGTGCCAGTTTCTGGACTGCCGAGAGAACCTGCTGGCAAAGCCTGATGTGGTTCAGACTGTGTTGTTCAGGCCTGGAGGGGGAAACGGAGCGTTTGAAATGAAACGGTTAAAGGGGAAATCGGGGAGAGAGAAAGAGTACAGAACACTTGTCAGGGATCCACTGTACGTAGGGTTACTACAGCTGCAGGCATGGTTCAATAACAAAAGTGTTTATTCAAATTTCAGAACCACAGTTAATGGAGGAAGGGGACTGTTCTGACGTACCTCGGTACAAAGACGTTGTAGAGATGTTTGAGGATGGTCTGGACGTACATATTAGGCTCCTTGACCACAGGCTGAGGCATGGAATCCCTGGGCGACACCAGGGCCATCATCCAGTCTGTGTACACGTCCACACACAGCTTGACGGTGTCCCCCTCCAGGGGGAGGGTGAGGCCGTAGCACAGCACCTCCATGGTCCATTTTACCTACGAGCCAGAACGTTTCCATTCATTTGCATAAATTTCAATACGTCTTATGTCATTGGTTTATGACACATAAGGCATTTCAGCAGTTTCCTATTCCTCAGTATTCCCATACTACGATTGAGGAGATGAGCATATCTGATTTACTGCCTCACATGAAGGATGCTCAAAGCTTTAGAGTGAGATGATGATGGCAATAACAACCTGCCGTGTTTCTGATAATGTTATTATAATGTTATTCTGGCTAAATAAAAAAACAGACCGGCTATTCAAAAGAGAAATAACTCCTGACCAACCAGATCATCATTGCCCAGTCAATGTATCATTTGAACACTGATGTAAATGCATCAAAGACAGCCGTGAAGACCACAGATGTCTGGCTCACTGCGAGCTGTGTGGTTTACTTTCTGGTTCATCAGAGCAGGTTAACAGTTCATTATTGTTTTATTCTTCATGAAACACAGTCTTTATAATACAGTTTGGGAAAATTCCTATTGAGACAATAGTAATAAGAGTTGTATCACTCATGAACAGGACTATGAAGTGCAGGGAGGAGGAAGTTGCTGTTGTGTTTCAGGTCTACAAAAGAGAAGCCATCACTCCACAACTTTAACAGCGGTACCTGGACAACTGTTAAGGCTTATGAGCTCGCTGAACGGACGCAAATAAATAAAGCCTGATCCCCTGTGCGTGCAACCTCCTGACACAAACGCACATAACCAACACAGCATGGGGTGTTTTCCACAAAGTGGTTGGGCAGCTTGTCGAGATGCAGGATAAACAGAAACAAGTTGATGGCAGAGAGAGAAGGGGGCAACGGCGACGCGTGTGTTTCCCACCTCCTTGTCCGTCTTGAGGATGTTCTCCGTGGCGACGGGGCTCACCGCTGTGCCCAACGGCTTGACCACAGCATTGGCCACCTCCGTGCCCACGCTGGTGGGATAGGTGTTCAGAACGCTGAGGTGGCCCTGGTCACTCTGCACCACCAACTGCAGCGAGCGCCACTCGGAATACATGCTGCGGATGTCTGCTGCCCTCTACTCACGCCTCCTGCCTCCACCTGCGGACACGGGAATCGTTTTCAATCCTCTCAGAGCCGAGTAAAGCGAAAAGGAGAGGCGATCACTTCCTCTACCGATAGAGCTGCATCCTCATTAACGGGAACGGGATGTCAATGTGTAACGCTGCTGACCGAGTAGAATACGCCCATACAGTGCGGTATTCTATTGGATAATCGCTTGGATACAACTATAAGGGATCAAAGTTGCATTAATCGGTAGAACTTCCAATTGGTTGACGTTAACTGAATCACTCTTACGTCACTCAGATGAAGCGTATTTCGGTAACGTTGGAGGGAAACTGCAATATCGAACGGTAACGTCAGTTACTGCGTTAACAATACGTAACGTTAGCGTAATACAATCGTTTTAGTAAATGATAATTTGGCGCAATAAGAAATAACAAAAACGTGTAAACAGTCCGAATACACGTATACTTAATGTAATGTCCCAAACTTCGACTATAACGTTAGTTTGACAGGAAGCAGGACCCATCCGGCAGTCCGGTTTTTTATGCTACTGCTCCGGCTAACGTTACGTTCTCTCCTTTAGGAGATATTAAAAAGTATCAAGGCTGACATTATACAACATTATATACAAGCTACATTGTGTGCACCGTAAGCTTAAACGTAGACACGCTGCATGTGTATCCTAAACTCCTTTCCTCGTTGATAACAACCCGAGGAATCACAACCAGGAAACGGTTCAGAAAATTATTAGCTTGCTAACGTCAGTTAGCATTGACATCAAAACATCTTTCTCTCCTTGCTGGTGACGTTAGCTGACGTTACCTGCTGGCTGGCTTCTGTGTGCCTCTCTTGATTAAACCAGAGGCTGCAGTTGGGATAAACCCTGCTGTTCTATACACTAACGTATCATTTGGAGATCTGACAGTACGCTGTTAGCTAACGATATTTGCACAGACGTTGCTAGCTAGTTTGGCTAATACTCGCTAACCCGTTCGTTGGCATCAACGTTAGCTAAGCTAGCTGTCATTTAGCTAGCTACCTAACTTTGCGCTAACGGTTGCTTGCCAGCTAAGTTTTCGTTTACCTGTACGAACTGGGAATGCTGTCATAACAGACCTCTGAAACTTGCAGTTTTGGCTTTCTACCTATCCCGGTCTAGACCATAACAGCGTCCATCTTCGCAATGTCAAGGATTGAATATTGCAGCTTGGTGAGCTAACGGGAAACAGGATGCGTGGATTGTCGCCCTCTACTGTGATGGTACAGCTAATGCAGCAGACCTGATGCTGCCTTCAAGTGCTCCCGGTCCCCCAAAAGCTCCCCTCCGCACGGAATCCGTCTCTGCGTCCATTTGGGTCTACTCCGGGAAACATAATGACAAATCAATATTTTTCCTCAAATAAGCTACTGTTATACTCTACAAAACGTTGACCCCCTCAAAAAATGCCCCGATATCAGGAATCAGGAAACATTTATTGCCAAAATATGTCAAACATACAAGGAATTTGTCTTGGCGGATGGTGCATGACAGTAGACAGTGTCTACAGTGTGACAAGACAGCAGTGCTAAGTAATAAAATAAAGTAAGATGAAATGCTAATGCAATGGGTTAGTAGAATAAGGCTATGGGTTAGTATAAAACAAGGGAATACAGTTAAAGTTAAAAATTTAAAATATTAAAAAAAGTTTTTAACATAAATTATATTTGTGACGTTCAGGGCCTCTTATTAAAGTGATTCGAAGTTAGAGGTTTATCTAGGTAATCTAAAATCATAGGATCAGTTAGATTGCCACTGATGATCATGCAAGATTAATTTGAATGAAGGAAGGAGAGGAAAACTAAGATGAACCAAGTTAACTGTCTTTTTTTTAAGTGTATACTTTTAGCGCCATAGACTTCCCAAAGTCTTTCATTAGACCGCGAAATCAACACCGTGCTCCTGAAGAGCAACAGTTGTACAAGATGTACAATTATTCTCGCTTTTGCCTCATAAAATCAGTCAAATCATAAAGTCTGTCGAGTTGATTCCTATCTACACACATATACTCATATTAATCATAATATATTTTATAAAAAGCACACTCCATACAAACAACATTATTAAAGGACTTTATTAAATTTTTCTATTATACATGTTACATTTGAATAGTGGTCAACCATCATTAAACATTACATTTGCTCAGCGCATACCAGTCAAAGATCGCCTAGGATCCTTTCAGCAGGGGGAAGCAGAGACTTGCTTAAAAAGAAGGTAACAGTCTTAATTATAAACAGAATGTCTGTATATACTGTGCGCTATTGATTATCATACTTACATGATTCATGACGAATAAATATGAATAATGGATCCATGTCCCCTGACAGAAATGATTCTCAATTAAGTGCCTTTGTTTCAAACTCAGTGTCTCCACAGGGACGGGACATGTGGAGGCTCTCTTCAAAGCAATCCTGAAGACCCTGTTATTAGGGACTTTGCGTTAACGTGCCCTTGCTGCACACATTAGTATCAAGCAAGTTCTGAAAGCAGTTATTTAAGTACAAGTATTCATTATAAATGTAAATCAGATGTTCTCTGTGTGTTAGCAGGATTTGGAGAAAAATATGCTAATTTGGGCATGAGGCCCGCATATGGTGCAAAGCCTCTCTACAGAATAAGCCACAAAATATATCCAACATTCCCAGCATGCCCCGCTCGGTCTCTGCAACAAAAGAAAAAAACAGACCCAAGAGAAATCTTCATGTCACGCTTGCAATTCTAAACTGTAACATTATACCTCACTTACAGGTGGGACGAGAATGAAAATGGAAAGGCAAATTGTCCCCTGTGCTGGACGTTGTAGCAGTCCCGGACCACTCTCAAGTGTCTATGGCTTCCACATGAGGGCTCAGAGAGCCAAACCGCACGGCTCTGCTGGACGCCGTCCACACGGGGGCGAGGCAACGGAAAAGGATTGTGGAGGAAAAGTCAGCATTCTCCTTGCCTTCATCGTGGCTCCATGATTGGTGGGGAGCACTTGCAGCTTAAGGGGGTGCTATGAATGTTACCCGTATGATAATGCGTCTAAGGGGCAAAAGAGAGGGAGGGGTTGAGAACTGGGAATTCGTACATTTAAACATTTGGGAAATAGTCAAAGCGTTATGAATCATCCTCACTCAGTTAAATGGAAATAATCTGGAGCGATTCATTCATCCAGTAATTTGTGCTGCTCACTGCAAAAAGCTCCCCCTTTGCCGGCGACTCTATCGCCTGTGCTTATGCGTTTTTATGTTTTATCTCGTCTTTTAATGCCTTATGATTCATGGCGCAATCAATGATATTGTTTAATCGTGTTCCTTATGGCTTTTTCTGGTGTTATTGATCATCTGTGATGCATTTTTGTGCACTGTGAGCCGTCTCATGTATGATCGTTTTTTGGGGGCAAACTTGTTTCCTCACGGGGGATTAATGAAGTTTTATCAATTCAATGTTGTTGAGCATCACAGACACCGTTCTATTTATCCTCTGGCAGAAATCCCCAAGACATTATCGGAGGAACTCCTTTGCTTTGTCAAGAGTTGCATGAGAAGAATTATACCACTGTTATGTCTATATGGTAGCTAAAGCTAATTAGCAAATTTCCCATTGAATTCTACAAACATGGAACCAGCACTAACTGTAAAAATTCCCTTTACTGGTGTGAAAGAAGCCGCGCAGCCTGTCGCCACTCACTTGAATGGAACTGTGCCGTGCAACACAGCCCCTCGCCCCGCGCCGTCCGGTAAATGGGCGACACACACACTCGGGTCGCCGGGGGGAGGCGGGTGAGGCGTGTCGACAGGGAGTCGGGAGGCAAATAGAGGGCGGAGCCCTGGCCTCGGAGCGAGCTCTGCTGTCCCTCCCAGGTGAGCCAGTAGCCCCTCAGAGCGCCCGCGCCGCCGCTCCAGTCCACCTGCACCTCGTCGCTGCCCAACGTGGTCAGCTGGAGGTCCGCCAGGGCCGGAGTCACTGCAGATGGAGACCACACTGCTCGTAAGTATATTTCCAAAAAGAAAAAAACATTTTAGAGAAGCAGACATGAATGAAAGGGACAAAAAAACAGAGATTGAACTTGTGTGGGAGGAACATGTGATATGTGATTTCATCGGCTCCACCTCCTCTAGCTGCTTGAATGGAACCTGCTAGTAATTATCTGAAATTCAAGCCACAGAAGGGGCTCGGCCAGCTTGCACTATATGGATTCTTTGAAGAGTCCGACTGCATGGTCTCCAGGCGGCTCACCTTCCTGAGTGCACACTTTGACAGACATGGCCTTCTCAGTGCCCGAGGTGTGGCGGGCACTGACCGTCACCAGGTACGTGGTGTCCGGTTGGAGGTCCCTCAGGAGCGTGGAGTCCTGAGTCCCGGCCACGGTGACGGAGTGAAGCTCGCCCCTGGGCAAGGCGGAGTACTCCACGTGGTAACTCGAGACCCTCTCTGGCTGAGAGGGACCCCAACTCACCCGGATGCTGGTTTGCCCCGACTCAGAGACCGTCACCACGGCGGGGCTCAGCACATCTGGTGGAAGAAACCAGGAGTCAGCATGAGGTAATATGAGGAGAATAACTGTCATTCAGCTTGATTGATAACGATAGATGATTTCATAGTAATTTGGATAGAATAATGTATAAAAAGAATAATAAAAACAAGAAGATGGAGATGGCACACTTGAATTAATGCCACTTAATAAATGGTATTTCAAGTCTTTAAGTCAAAATACAGCTGAAAAAGCAAAAATAAGAAAAAAATAAAAATTTGTATTAAAAGATTAACTACCTGCTTTAAATTGAAATTATCTGGATTATTTTCCTGGTATTAAAACGGCAAGACATTCAATTAGAAATAATACAAAACAGTTTTTAAAAGCCTTCAAAAATGCTTTGAGTCAAGAACTTGAAACCGGTGACTATTTCAACCCAATAAAAGAAAGAGCAGCGTTTGTGGGATGCGACACAAGGGGAACGCGGGATGTAACCCAACCTGGTTTGGTTTTGAAGGTGATGGAGAGCGTGTTAAACGCCTGATCGTTGGACTCCGGGGTCAGCGTGGCGCTGTACGTGGTGTCGGGCTTCAGGCCCGTTAGCCTGGCGCTGCTGGAATCTGCAGCCTGGGTCAGCCTCTGGTAGCGCACACCGCCGGTGCCCGGACTGGTCCCGCTCCCTCCTACGCCCGCTCCGCCCGGCGGCACCGAGCCGTAGCGGATCTCGTAGTAGCCCGTCAAACCGGAGAGGACGGGCCGCCACTGGAGCGTGGCCGAGTCGGTAGCGACGTCGCGGACCGTGATGCGCTCGGCACGAATGATCTCTGTAGGCGGAGGTGGAACAAGATAAATGAAGTCTGCTCGTAACTCTGCACAAAGAAAAGGAACGGCGAGAAGAGAACACAACAAGACGGGCTAAAAACAGGCTTCGGGCCGTGAGAGGCAGACTGATTTCTGGATTCATTGGGACTGCTTCCATTAGACAACTGGAAATAGCCAACCCAGTTAGGCCTGTGACAAAGTACCAACAAGTATCCACGATCAGGCCCAGAAGGACCGGTGCATTTCTCCTTGTTGAGCACAAGCCCCTTTTCACACTGTGCATCAGGTCTTAGAGCTGCAATGTAGACGTTGATGAGGATTCCCTTGTGAGCGATCCTCTCTCTATTTATATACATATACATGTACATACACACACATGGATGTGTCATCTCTGGCTAAGTGTTGGTGGATGCAGCGAGGGCAAATCATTAATCCATTAATAGATCGCCCTCTCTCATTACGGTGTCTCTTTCACAGGCACACGGACACTCTCGATGTCCCGGCTTACTATTTAGTCTCACTGTCTCCGGGAGCATTTGTGGAATCCGGGAGGAGGACAGCAATATGTTTGATTTGTGAATGAGTTGACTTTGGAATGAATTGAGCTCGGAGCGGTGAAGAGGGTCTCGTGTTTAAGTCGCAGTAGTTCACTCCAAAAAAAAAAAAGCCAGTTTAATCTTTTTTCTCCTTTTATTAAGAAAAATTCCCAATTGTGAATTGATGACATTTTCCTACTAGATCACATTTTCCAGTAATATTTCTATTTTAATGGGATTTCAAGGAATGTTTTTGAGGATTATGTTACGATATGCCATTGATTTTATTCCATCTCGCAATTAATTTGTCTGCTGTCTCCTCATATTTCTGTTGCTTTAATCTTTTTCCTGTACAGACATTTAGCAAAGTCACACCTACAAATGTCATTCACTCAGGGCCACTATTAAACACTAAAAAGCAACTTCAGACCTCCCGTGCTCACCGATGATGGCGTCCCGCAGGTCGTCTGTGATGATGCTCATGTCATCGATGTCCACAAAGTACAGGTTGCTCTCCACCGGCGGAGTCACCACTTGCTTCAAAACCTGGAAGTTTCCGTGGCCGGTGGAGACCACCAGCACCGCCACGCCCTCCTCTCGCAGCCTGGCCATCGGCCCCATCACGTCGCCCGGCTTCACCCCATCCGTCAGCCACACCAGCACCCTCGGGAGCCCCTCCCGGGCCCCGCCGGCCGCTCCGGGCGTCAGGGCCAACTCCTTGGCCATTCTCAAAGCCTCCACCGTGTTGGTGTCCCCCCTCACCGGCTTGACGTTCTTCAGGGCCCCCTGGAGGCCGCTCTGGGACCTGTGGGTGTCGAAGCCAAACTCCAGGCGCGGCCGGGTGCCCACCTGCAGAAGTCCCACTCGGACCTGGTCCTCCCCCAGCGAGAAGGGGAGGAGGAGCTCCGACAGGAAGGTGAGCATGCGCGAGTGCTCGTAGGACGACACGCTGCCCGAGGAGTCCAGCAAGAAGAGAACGTCTCCCTCGCAGCAGTTCAGCACTGTGGAGAAAAAAGACGAGATTCAATGCGGCCATTTGTGAGCAGGACGACATGAAGGCCAGACGGAACTCCCTCTAAGGTTCCTTTTCACTCCCACAAACTTTTTCCACAGGTCCCCTCTTCCCCCTGACGCAAACACACACACATTTGGAATCTCCCTCTCTCCTTCCTGCTTCACGGAACAACAACTTTTCTAGGGGATCATTGCCGACATAAAAGCAGCAAGCAAGTAATGACAACGGAGATCAGAATCAATCCAAACAAGCAGAAGATCTGGCAGTGTGATAACTTATATAAAAGGGCTCTCAAGCCCCGAGCCAGGGAGTGGATTGCTTTCTTTTATCCTCCCACAATTTCCCATATTTCATAACCGAAGGGAAAAGGGGGATGGAAAACAGGAGGGGGGTGAACGGTAGGTAAAGTAGCTTCTACTTTACAGGGAGCGGAGAAAGGAGAGGTGGGATATGTGGAAATAAAAGGCATTAAAAGGAGAGGGCTGCGCTGCCAGTTCCATGTGAGAGACGAGGAGGAATGTTGGATGGCCCTACACAGAGTCTAAAGACCAACATTAAGTGGCACGTTGTGCATCCGTCCGCGCCGTTAAAAGCACGCGGATAGAAACTAATGCGTGAGAGGCCAAACGCCTTAGACTGCCCCGAGGTCACCGAGATTTAATAAGGCTGCAATCATGGTATTGACTCAGGCACCTTGACAACTTTGGATGCCTCTTCACAATATTTGAATGTCTAGCACATGAGGTGAGGCGTTGATACGATTCTGATTATACGGCGGCGCCTGCACACACACACACACACAGATGTGCACGCCTAGTGCTTTTCTTTCCGCAAGCCTAAAGAATTCCTTAGATCTGACTTGCTGTTTTGGACTTTGGAGCCCCGGTCACACTACACCTACCTTCCTCCACCTGTGTGCAGGTATGTCTTTATCTAAATAGCCCATACTGCATCTGGAGATAGCCGCTTCAAAGTTTATGTAGAGAGAAGAACTGAAAGTCGACAGCTCCCGCAGGCACATGACGTCACTACATGACGCTGGTACATGCAAAATGCAGCCTAAACCACATGGATTATGAGCGCTTGGATGTGCATGAATGCAGCATGACTATGAGGACAACAAAAGACCAATAGTCCGATGCAATTACTGATCTTTTATTTCCTTTAAATGTCTCACAATCCCATTGGGCAACATACTTCTTTTTCTCAGACAGCGTGCCGTGGGGATGGTAGGTATTATAAAAGCTAAGCTAGCACTTATAAAAAGCCTAATTACTGTGAGCTATGGGGGTTGAGTGTCATCGGGTCCCTATTAATGGAAATAACCAAAGCGACCACTCGCTCACCAGACTAATATGTTAAGGCGGCCACAGAGATCCAGTCTCGCAGACACACACGGCGGTGTCGCCAACGCCAAGTTTAGCTTCTCAAGAAATGTCCTGGGGTTTTTTATGGGTGACACCGGCATGAGGGCATTTGTTTTGACTCCTCTGCCAGTGTGTGTCGTCACTGATCGGGAAACTGTGGACAATTAGAGAGCGCGTATTGGCATCAACAACAGCTTGTAAACTCACTGAGGAGTGAGGAGAACAGAAAGAGAGATAGTATCACACTAAATGGCCTGCAAGGATGCAAAAAACTGCAGATCAGTCATTCCTGTGCGGTTTTCCTTTCTCGGCAGACTTTTACTTTAATGATTGACTTGGTGTGGAGTCTGCTCATGCCGTTGTCTTAGAGGCCACTGCTGTCAAGTCAAGGTATGTCATCAGTAGATAATAATCCGGGAATGCAACTCATTTGCGTTGCTGAAAAGTAAACACTGCCTCAGGGCGCAAGATTTCATCAACTGACAATTCAATATCTGGAGTGGTGCCATCAAGCTGGTGTAATATCAAACCCCACCCTTATCCAGCCTAAGCTGCAGACAAGTCCCTCCACCTCCTGGAGCACAATCAGACTCTCAAAGAAATATAATGTTTTCTCTGGTTATGCGCCTTCAATCACGTTATTATATAAACATATCTAGAAATTAAATAGATGAAACAGATACATAGAAAAGATGTACAAATATATGTGTATACTTATATTTATGTTTCATATTATATATAAATAAGTATGTCTAAATGTATATAAATATACATATATTCATACGAACATTTACATATGCGTGTCTATGTATTTATTTAGATGATATATTCATATAGTGGACCGGGTCTGAGGCGGGCTTACCTCCTTCGGGTGCGGTGTTCTGTGTGCCCGACGGCCGCAGGAGCGCGCACAGCAGCACCCACGTCGCCAGCGCGCGGCTCTCCATCACCACAGCCGCGAGTTCAGTTCCCCCGCGACGCGACGCGCGTTGTGACACAAACGGGCTCCCGAGTCAACCGTGTACCGACTACAGCGCGGAGGCGCGCATTCCCACTCGGATCACTACTCTCAAGTCAGGAGCATTGTTCCTCTTTCTGTCGCCTCTTCTCCCCCCCCTCCCTCGGTGAGCATGGTGGAGCCGTTCGGTGACGCGAGGCGCTGGAAGTTAAACTTCAACCAAAGTGGGAACTCCCAGCCGGCGCGCGCTGCGTCTGGACTGCAGAGCTGCGTCTGCGCCGCGCGCGGGACACGAGCGGCAAGCACGCGAGAAGTACAAGCGATTCCCGGAGAAAACATTCCAAAATAAAGCTCTGGTGCGCTTTTAGCCTTCTTTTATTTCTTAAAAAGAAGAAAATACAGTAAATGTGATTTTTATGATTATAAACATTTTGGTCAAACAAAATAATTTACTTGTCAGGAAATAAAGCATTTAAGGACATGCGTGTGTCATTTATGTGTTGCGCGTATATAAAACATGTGCAGAGCTGATCATTTTTTTTCACTTTCAATTCTGCGGTATTTACACACATGTTTATTTGCAAACAACCGTTTTGTTGCTTTTGCTGGCATTTGTAATCTGTGCCTTGCACCTGTCCATTAGTGGAACCATTTGAAACCATTGGCAGAATAATGTATTGATTTGGCTTTTTAAGTGTGCACTTTCATCCCCACAACAAACATTGCAGCAATGGGGATAGGAAAATACCTTCAAAAGGCAACCTTTAAATATACCTCAAATTAGGTAATACAATTTAGTAAACCCAGTTGAAACCCCTATATGTTCAGAGCTTTACATGTTTGCATTCAGTGACGTTAACACAAGTAAGGTTGACACGGCTGTACCTTATATATATATATATATATATATATATATATATATATATATATATATATATATATATATATATATATACATATATATATATAATGTTCGTTTTAGATATTAGAGGTGTCCTGAACAATGGTAGAGCTTCAGGGAAACCACTTTATTTTGAAGTTCAGGCTGCTTTGACTTCCTTCTGGCTACCCTGCTCTGACTTTCCTCATCTCACTTTCTCGTGTTCTGCACAACACATACATCACTGAGGTCTCCAGTCTCCCCAGTAACGAATAGAAAAAAGGGCAAGCCTACTTCACCAAACAGGCGTCAACACCTCACATCTGAGCCACTATTACGTAAGTCTTCCCGTTACCTTATTTATAGGGATGTAAATGAAGAAGCCACTGACAGCTCACTTTACATGCTTTGCTTATGCATTTTTAAGTGCGTCAGATATACCACAGGAATGATTGTCTATTCGCAGAATAATAAGAGCATTCATCTGTGAAATATCTTTGCTGAAATGCCCACATGCCCTCTTGCCCTCTCCCGCACACACTGAGTCGTCTGCAGACGGTGCGGTTAATGTTTACCGATGGACTATACTTATTTTCTAAATATTTGTCTGGTGAAGACAACCAAGAATGTCAGCTATCCAAAAGATTATAAGGAACCTGTGGTTCACTGACAGAAGCCACAAATACTTTCAGTACACAAACCAACGAAATTCTACAGCACAGCATCCCCGAGTGGAAAGAGGGTCAGCGGCTCCGCAGGCCGGCTGCTGAGGTCAACCACTCATCCTTGAGCGGGCTCACTTAGTTGGAACTGTTCAGGAGCAGGAGAATCATTTTTGGTTGGCGACAGATACTCTTACATGGAAGCCTTTAAGAGGGTTCTACTTAGAACCATTTAGTAGAGGTACAAAAAGCCCCTCTGGTTAAAAGAGGAACCCACTGGAGGTCGTATCCACCTTCCAAGGGTGCAAACTAGAACACACCGAAGACTGAAGAAGAATTGCTTTAGGACCCATACATCAATGGGGTTGTATTGAGCACCAACTTATATTTGAAGGGTTTAGAGCCCGTCGGGGTTCATCACAGACCCTTTTATATGTTGTCAATAGAACCCTCTGGGTGGATCCAATTGCGGAATTTGGTGCCCGCAGCGCAACTCACAACGGACATGGTTCACAACCACAGTGTTTAAGAGCGTGAAGTGGGAGGATCCTTTAACATCAACAATCTTTGACAGACTCTTACTCCCCAAAAGAGTTCTTTGGACAATGTAACTCATTGTCTCACAAAGAAACCTCTGAAAAGGTTTAGTGCGGAACCTTAAACTAGGAACTTATTTGCGGGAGTGTGATTCAGCAGGGAGACTATTGATAGTCTGTCTGTGTGTGTGTGTGTGTGTGTGTGTGTGTGTGTGTGTGTGTGTGTGTGCGCGCGTAGAACAGTAAAAGAAAAGAACAATGGGGGTAGGAGGGAATACATGGATGGCAGAGGATGCAAGAATTCAAAGGTCTGGATTCCTTTGTGACGTATCGTATCCAAACAGTGCTATTGTTCCAGTAGGACATTGACATTGAACACTCCCTTCCCAATACACACACCTATTAACAAACACGCTACAGGGCCCTCTGTGATCGGGACGAATTATATACCTTGTCTGACCTGCGCTTCGCTGCAATACCCTACATGGAACACAAAACCAATACCACCACATACAAGACAAGTACAAGCACTTTGTTATATTTTGCGCTATTACGTAATGTAATATAATAATGTTTGCGACTCGTGAGTCATTTATTTTGTTCCTTTTGTCTGTGACATTACATTACATGTCATTTAGCTGTCGCTTTTATCCAAAGCAACTTACAATAAGGGCATTTCAACCATGAGGATACAAAGTCAGAAGAACAAGAAACAAGAGCAAGTGCAATTTCATCAAATAATCCGATCTACAACTTGCTATAGATAAGAGCCATTACAAGTACAATTTTAAGTGCTACAATTTGTTTTTAAGAAATGTTTTTAGTCAAGATAGAGTCTGAAGAGGTGTGTCTTTAGTTTGCGGCGGAAGATGTGAAGTCTCTCTGCGGTCCTGTGACAACTTTAGCAGCCATGATAGATTAATTCTGTCCAGTTTCTGAACATTTTTCTTTTATGCAAAGGGATAAAATTGAACGTCTTGGGAAGTCAAGTTCCCTGCTGCATCGAGATCCATTTACTCCCTGCTGCTACTGCATAATAGACATGCAACGTGTATTTCTTTGCGGTTTTCCGGTACCTCCCCTCCGGGGCTGAACAAGTCCTCACACGCACATCTGCGGCCCCCCGTCTGACCACGTCAAAGACACTGTGCTGTTTAGATGCCTCTGCAGATGGGAGTCTTCTTACTGTGCCTTTTCTGTTTTTTTAAAACCACAAGCAACCAGTGATATTCACATGGCAGACCCCCACCTGGAACTACTTGGCACTGGTGTGTGGGAGAAGCAGTAAATAGCTTTTCTCCACGTACTTCCATCGGGTAAAGCTATGGATGAGTTGTGCAGTGAAAGGTTACAGGCAACAGGTATCAAGGATGTGAAGCGCAGCTCGAGTCGGACTTCGGGCGACGCCACTGGCAGCTCTCGCTCACAAACCGCCACGGCCCCCATAGCGGGGATGACAAAATAAAAGGCCCTGCGACCGACGTGAGAAGAGGAAAACAGCAACAGCTGGCGGCTTCTAGCTTGGGGACGAGAAGTAAAGGGAGTAGAGGGGAAAACAGCGAGATGTCATCAGTGGAAGAGTTTACGACATCGAGGGTGTGATAACATGGAAATATAAAGAAGCGGAGCTCATGGTTTGGTGGGTTGGAAGCAGGGTTACTGCCGCTTGTAACTTTGGCCTATAATAACAGCCTCTAGTTGTAATTACCCATTAAAACGTTGGCTGCAGAGGACTTTACTATGCCACTGTTGGTAGTTAAGTGAATTCCACAGATCTATATTTGCCAGCTTTTTTCCTACGTTCTGCCAGCCTATGGAAGACCAGGTTGGGTTTGTTGGGAGGATCAGAGGAAGAACAACAGACAAAAAAACAACCTGCATCACAAAGATGTAAAGGAGAAATTAGTGAGAGGAAAAAGGGGCGATGCAGAGTGATGGGAAAGGAATTCTAAAATGGCACATGAATAAAAGCCACGAAATACATTTTTTTAAAGTCGGAGGGAGTTTCCATCACTGGGATGCGATGAACAAAAATGTCCCAAGTGCCCCACTGCCTTCCTGGACAACTCAGCCACCTTTGGCCCCTGCGTCAGTGTTGCTTTCCTCCCCCCGCTGATCAGCATCCTGTTTTGGGCATTGTGTCTTTTTTAAGCGAGTGTCTGTACAGACAGTTCGCTCACGTTCAACAATTCTGCTACTAAGATGCTGAGTCTGGACGAACCGGTTTTAAACTTCACGCCCCTTCTCCGTGTTCCAAGAGCTTAAGACCCTTCCAGGGAAACACTCAATCTCTGCTATTCCCTAAACAAATTCGACAAGTTACGTTAAACAGGAGCAACCGTTGGGCTCCAGGCAGAACAAGGTATTCACTAAATAAATCATAGGGTATCATTAAAGTTTGGACAGAAGCACCCGCGTCTGCTCACTGTCTCGGGGTCAGAACTGCGCACACAGCCAGACCCGACTCTAAGCTAGAAAATGTGTTTCGTTATAGTCGCCAGTCAATAACGATAACCAGCCAGCGCCCACTGCAAGTTTCCACAGAACAGCGTCCCAGGCCTCTCACCGTGCCAAGTTGGGTCAATGGAGGTTCCCTCAGCTCGGACGTCGGAGGAGTTTATAGGTAAAAGAGCACTAGACTCAGCTCCTCTGGCAGCGGTATGAACACAAACTAAGCAGGGAAAGTTGGAGGAAAATGGCAGGTTCAAGGATGCAATGACCACCTCGGGAGAAAAGACTACGAGGAAGAGAGGATGATTTACGAGGAAGCCGACCAAGAGGTCCTTTTAGGGGGGGTCTGACTCCAGCAGCATGAGGAACTTTGCTCCCGATGAGGCTGAAGTTCTCTAAAACCTCCCAACAGACTAAGAATTCATCTTTTGTTGACTGTAGTTCAGCAACATGATGAGGACATTCCGTGCGTAGCCTCAAACTTGCCCCCGAGTGCTCCTTCGAACTGTGTGGAATGAAGGACGCAAACTGCTCGAAAAACCTTGAATGCTCGCCCCCCCAATCCAAGAAGTACTCAAGTACCACTTGTTCAGAAATCCACATGAGAAAGGTCAGTGGCGGTGACTCATCGCTGTCAGAGTTCTCTCATCCAGCCAGTGGGAAGGCTGCATGTGACAGGCGTTTCTCTCACACACACAAGAACACGCACACACACACACACACACACCCCTGTGTGTTTGTGTGTAT